GTATTATATCTAGTATTATAAAATCTACCTTGGATATTTGTCCGTTAGAAAAAACATTCGAAATGATATTTTTTATTGTTATACTTGTAGAAACTAATCTGTAAGAACAAATTAACATATTTATGTATAAGATACATTTATTTAGAATTTTAATTTGTAAAAAGAAATGTACTACCTTGGTTTTATATTATCAAAATTTGCTAATATGTAGTCAAGGACCAAATCGTTGCGTGCATGGTTTTGAAGAATTGAATTGAAGGTAAATGTATGGTACAGATTGCTAAATAATGTTGTATTCGATGCTAAAATATGCAAATAGTTGTTAATGATATCAGGATTTTCAGCACAATTCAAGTTTTTCAAAAGTTTCGCATCAGATGTTCGCTGATATAGTTCCATCATTTTATCCCAAGTGGTCCTATTAGCTACCGCTAAACCAAAGCAGTACGTCCAATGTTGCCGCCATTGTGGAACTCTAAAATACATATGGAAAAGAGCTACATGCATTTCATACGCATAACCGACGTTTCATTTTATCAAGTTTTGTATTTTTTCTGTTAGGTAAATCTTATTTTGCAAAATTAAGTTTCTGTCGTGCGCTGTTCTGTCACTCTATATTTGCCACATGATCATAAGACTATATATTACATACAGTAAATAAATAAATGAAAGATGAATCCATCGATAAACGACACTTCTTATTATATATGTACACATATTTTTAGTGTTTCGCATATTTATTCTATGCATTAGAGATTAGAATAAAAATAGAAATTGAGAAACAATAAAGAGACTGTCCGACGACTTGAAGAAGTAAGGAATCGGTTACATCCATATATATGCATACGTATGCCCACAACACACACGTACAAATATAAATTATGAGATAATCGTAAGAAATTACTTGTGAGTATCAGGATCCGCGAGATGTTCGCTTAATTTAATGGCGGCCCTTCTCTTGCATTCCGCGTGACCGATGGTACATGCGTAGTATATGGCATCTAGCCTTAGCATTTTTGTGATATCGTGATCATCAGGATTTTCTTCGTATCCCACATGCTGAAGAAGCTTATCAAGGATTCCTAATATGTGTGACTAGAAATCATGAAATAATATTGAATTTTACATTGGTTTGGTGATACTGGCGAAGAAAGGTGATTCACACACAAATATATATAATTTGTTAGTGCCTTGTTAGAACATTCACTATCATAAAATTCATAAGAGTCATCGGCGAGCTTGCACCCACCTCTCCCTAACGTCCATTTGTATAAATGTTATAATTAACAGTTTTGCCTGACGTCATTTATTTTATCAATATGATGTAAAAATGAAGTTTCTTTGACCGCAATGTTGTTTCTTGGGTTGTTGTGTAACTTTAGGGTTAGATATTACGTTATAAAATTAGTACAAAAAATTTATATTTTCTTTAAATTTTTGTATTAAATTGTATATTCATCCCAATATGAATAAGAAATTCAATATATAACTCTTTAGCCTTGAAAATATAACATTTGCGAAGCGATAATTATTCTATAAAGCGGAGAGGTATAAATGAATTTTACAAATTAAAGAACCAAATATAACGGTACAAACACCTTTTTCATCTTTAAAAAATCTGTTATATATATATATATATATTTATACACTTACCTTGAGACTTCCACTCTCTGGCAGTATAAAGTGCCTCACATTCCGAGTTATTATTCGGAACATTGTACGCCATGGCATATAATCTCTTTCTCGTCCTAGGTAACTTATAAGATTCATGAACACAGAGCCATCTAATTGGTTCTCCAGCACAAAGGCAAACGCATCATCCAGAATTTGAGCACGATTGAGAACGTGTATTTTCGTGTATTCCTCAGAATTTAAGTAACGTATGATTCTTTCCAGATTTGTGGTATCGTAATAGACACGACAGTATACTGTCGAATTATGCATAAAATTTATTATTAGACTTTCTTATTTGAAATTATCAAAAATATTTCAAAATACTGACATTTTCTTTATCGTAATAAACAAATTTTATGTAATTTACAACTTACAATTGTTGTAAAAAAATGCACATTACCAATTTAATTCACCAATGTATCGAATTATTATAATTATATAAATTTTGAAGCTTCTTTTTAATAAAAAAATATATTAAGAACTTGAATATAATGTAAAACTTTTGTGTTAATAAAGCAAATAAGATAAATATAAAAGAGCGTAAATTTTACTGATTCATACCAGTTTGTTGTAGATTGACGATAATCCAACCTCTTGTATTAATTTGCACTCGAAGCGTTTCATCTGGTTTTAACCATTTATTGGGCATAGTATTGGAAAAATCTGGAAAGCTCTGCTTAGTGTAGGATACGGGTATCCACCATTTATTATCGGCAGGTATAAGTTCGTGAAAACATTTTTGTGTTATTGCCATTTCATTAGTTTCGTAATTTATCGTCACATTCAGAACAGGATAACGATCTTGGTTTATCCACGTGTCCATCACTTTTTTTATTCCGAAATTTTGATCTCGCATATAAGGGACCCAAGAGGCTTCGTTTTTAGCACTTTGTATATCGCTCCACAAATCATCGGGAGTGACCGCCATATATTGCCTAAATTTGAAATATGACATTGTCATTAGCTTATAACACATACGTCGTATGTATTTATTTACTATTACAAAATCAAACGTGAGCATTAATGTACAATTTAATTAATACGTATGTAGAAACTAAGAATATGATTTAAAACTAGCTTATTGTTAGTCAAATTATAATTAAGGAATAAAGCATGGTTTCTTCTAATCGAATAGCATTAGATATTGAACGCACAAATTTATGTCTCTGATGTGACGTTGTATATTTTCCAACGTAAACGCAAGAAACATTATACTTATGATATTTAATGTTGTGATATGTGATAACTCTAATAGACTACATTAAACGTACATACTTACTTTGTAGCGAAATGCTTGATGATACCCTTTCGAAATACCTTGTCGCCCACTGCATGATGTAACATGCGCAATATTGCTGGAGCTACGATAAAATACACGTCATAAAATATATCGACTAGTAATGCCTATAATGTATATTTTGCATATAAAATTAATTGTAAGACATATATGAACGTATTGCGCAAAAAGATAATTTGTTGTCTATCAACTTTTCGGTTCCACCTCTTTCTTCGGGCTACCTGCATTAAGCTATTTATTTTATTTACATAATTTTACCTTTGTTATAAACTTCACCACCAAAGATGTTATACAAGTGATCGTCAAGGTTCAATGTAACAGAATCCATTAAGCCAACATCTAGATGGAGAGTATGGTGTATGGTCCCAGTAACGAAAAGGTCCATTGACCGCCAGTCTTCAAATATCTATTACAGAAAATAATCCTCTGATAAAGCTGAATATAAAAATTCGAAGGAAAGTTCGCATTTATAGGGATATATACTACTTGTCCGCCACTTTCAGAAACTTTACTATTTTATTTATCCATGTCAAATATTAACCGTTTTACGTCTAAACTTTTTGAGAAGATCATATATAGTTCAATTATTTTTTTAAATATTGGAGATTATTGAACACAAAAATATAATCAAGATATAAAAATTCGAGTTAAATTTTTTTATTGTATTAAATGTTTATTGTGACGGATGCAAAAATTAAAATATTTTTGGAAACCATTGTGCTATAATTATAAGCTTAGATCGCAAATTTTTAAAGCGCGGTTGATGCTAGAAATAAAGTATTCATCAATTTTATTAAAAATTTATATTAAATTATTTTTATAATTGTTTGAAAAATGAATGGGTTACAATTTTATTTATAATTCCAGATTGAAGAACGTGCCAGTTAGCTTCGTCTTGATACATTTTGTGAAAATGTGGAAATATTTAATTCCTGTTTTTCTATTTAATGAGCAACCTTGCATTAGTAATATTAAATAACCTTGTCGAGGAAATACTCCTGGAAATACGAAGCAAATCCCTCTTTTAACCACAGGTCAGACCACCAAGATGGGGTGATAAAATTGCCGAACCACTGATGTGTGATTTCATGTGCTACTAACGACGCCACTTCCTTTCTCCGAAATGTGGGATCTTTGCTTTCATCGTAGACAACTTTTGACTCACTAAAAGGCAAAATAACATAATATATATAATGTGATTAAGCATAGTCTTTCTCATCGTTAGCATGCAGTCTAATTTATTTCGAAGTAATTAGTAATTATAACACATTTTAAACACTTTAATTTGAGACAATCTAAAAATGAAAATATGCAAATAAAATTTGAATATTCTTGAAACAAATGTTTCTTTAATTATCAAATGTGGAATACTAAAAGTAATTAGCCAGCTTTAAAAGGTTAATATTAATCTTTTTACTTATGTATATTACTAATCCTTCTAGTTATGTGTATCCTACTCGTAAATAATGATTCCCCAATGTTCCATGCCATCGACGGGATAATTTGGTATCATGACGTGATCTATTTTCGGTA